TAGGGGGTTTAGGGTTTTAGGGTTAAGTTAGGGTTTTGGGGGGGTGCCTGACATCGTAGAAAGGAGTCGGCATCTGTATCCGGAATTCCCAAAGGTGATCTTGAATTGAAGCAGTCCCCCAATGGCTGTGACTGCCAGAGAGGACCTGGATCCTTTGGGAGACAGCTCTTGTCTCGTATCAATGTGTCAGGGTTCGGCATCGGGGCTTCAGGGTACCGGGCATTGGCAGCAGCTTCCAGCGTGAAGGCTCCGGGGGCTCAGTAAGTGTGGGTTATATACTGAGAATGTCCCCAGTTCGGGTGTGTGTAGACCCAGTGCGACTCATATACTGCACGGGCCTAAACCCTAAACCGTATAGTTTTGCGGGGCCATTATAATAATACTATCATGGGCCCCAAAACCCTATTCAATGATTACGCCCTCTATATCACTTAGGACATATTCGCTTATAGTATCATGGGCCCCAAAACCCTATTCTAGTTATTATAAGCCCTCTATATCGCTTTTGAATAGGCTCGTGGACCTCAGCTACCACGACGGAACTGGGGAGCAGGATGTGCCTGCGCCTGGGCTCGAAGTTACTTGTGCCTCCATGTGGGAGTTTCCGAAAACAAGGGGAAGGGGTACCTTATTTTGGGGTCCTGATAATAAGGATCCTATTATTTAAGGTACTATATCAGGGTCCCCTATTTTCGGAACCTCATGTGGGGGTTTCCGAAAGTGAGGGACCCTGATATGGCACCCTAAATAGTAGGATCCTTTTTATAAGGACCCCAGAATAAGATACCCTCTATTTTCGGAAACTCCCATGTGGTATATCATATTGAGGCTATTTAGGGCCTCTACAGTCGCCACTAAGCATGTGGCATAGGGCTGAGAGAACATGAGGGTGCCACTGAAGGCTTCCGAAACAAGTCCTGACTCCAAATTCAGATCTACCTGCCAACAACTAACACGTGGACCAGCTGTTGCGGACGTGTTGTCGACCATTCTCCCAAAGGGTCCGAGTGCCAATAAAGTGGGTAATTTGGGCCCAAATGTATATGTGTTCTCTACCCCTCATGCCCCAAACCCTAAAAACCCAAAGCCCTAAATCTTAAATCCTAAACCCTAAAAGCCCTAAACCCTAAATCTTAAACCCTTAAACCCTAAACCCTATGACTTGGACCCTGTGAGTCCGTTCTGAGGTCGCAGACCTCCGACCGCTGCTGCCTGCGGCCTTCTCCCCACCACAGAGACAGAGCGTCTCCCCTGCCAAGGCCCAGCTCGTTTGAAGCAGTCCGGCACTATGTTATACATGATTATACTTGTCTAGCAGGACCTGACAATCAATGCTGGTATATCTGTTTTTCTACTGTAATGCAACGTAGTTCAAACCGTAGATTCCAATATTCTGGTGTAATCCAATAAAGAATATCATGCAACATAGTGCAATGTAATGCCACACAATGAAAAAACGGCTCAATGGATTGGTATTACATAACATAATATAACATATCATAACATAATGCTTTGTAAAAACAATGTAGTGTGCTGTATTAACATAGTACACTTGTAAGGACTACTGATATAAGATATCAGCAGTTGAAAATTAGAGAGAACAGAATGTTAATACAAAATACCAGAAATTGAAAACCGAGAGAACATAGTAGAATACAGCATGCTTAAATACAACTAGCATATGACATTAATATAGTGCTATAGCACATGCATACATATATATATATATACATATATATATATACATATGTAAATATATATATATATATATATATATATATATATGACATAGCAACACTAGACTAGAGTTGACTATAGTATATACTATACTTTCCTATATACTATATAGACTCTATGCTGTATATTCTTTACTATATAGTATATGCTATACTATACTATACTGTACTATACTATACTACACTACAACATAACATAGCACAGACATACTAGACCATGATACAGATAGCTTGGTATATTGTAACTGAATATAACATAGCATAACCTATTAATAAAGTGTTATAGTCTAGAATATTATAATATAATATGACAATAAGACATGGTATGATATAGTGTATCAACACATAATACAACACGTAATGGAATAGGATATGATAAAATATGTCATAGTATGATATCGTGAATATAGGAAAAAGTATTCAAATACAATATAATTTAACACAACATAACATAATATAACATAGAAAGATGTAATACTAAAGTATAGTGTAGTAAAATAATCATAGCGTTATGTTATGGTAGTTCATATGTAGGCTCCGCGCGGGAATTCGTGAACTCTAGCAGCTTGAATCTCTGTGCACGTCAATTGCAGGCCGCCACGAAATGTAGGCCTCTGGCATGTGTGGCTACATGGAGTCCATTTCAGCAAGATGGCATCAGTGTCCAGAGGATCGCGGCGCTCCCGCACCACCACCTCCGCCGCCAAGTGCTCCGGAGGAGGCTAGGCGGTCGAATTGGATTCCCAACAAGTCTTTGAGAGTTGAAATTACTCCGAGTCTCATCTCCGCGACTCGACCAGAATCATCACCAGCCCACAGCCAACCCCTCAGAGGCTAAACCCAAAACCCTTCCCTAACCCTCCAGGTACCTACTATAGAGGGTACTAGAGCCCCTAGGGCCCTGTATAGTAGGTACCTGGAGGGTTAGGGCTATCTTTTCTTCGCAGGCCTACTCTGCACTCTTGCTTTCCCAGGAGCTGGCACGTCCCAGCCCCAGTCCCTCCCTGACGCAGCGAATCGCCGCGCTCCGCGCAGAGGCAGGTCTATTGGTGGCTTGGCCCTGATGTAGACATAAACATGCGCATGTGCCAAGCCAAGTCGCTCTACAGCACGAAACTCGTCAGTTATTGCGTCGGCGTGTCGCCAAACTGACTTGCTGATCATCTCGCACCGAGGACCGGAATGTCCAAACGCTGAAGGAGCGGCAGGACTGCTCCCCAATCCTCCTCAGGGCTTAAGTCATTAGGATTTAGGGTTAGATGTTTCTTGAGTCGAGACCTGCTCTCCAAGAGTCTGCACAGACAGAGTTTTTCACATATGCTTTTCCGAGTTGGAGTTGTCGAAGAGAGTCTGGCATCCTCGTTATAAGCTGGGACAAGGTACCCCAATAATTCTGCAAGTCCCAAACAGGATTCGAGCCTTGCGGCCCTGGAGACTGCGAATCAGGGCGTTTCCGAGGCGGCGGTCCGAGGGCCGCGCAGAAATCTGCTCGAAACATCGCAAGCCCCTATATACCACGGTGAGGTCCCCAGAAGTTGAGATTTGTCGGGTTTCTAATAGTTAAGACAGCGGTGCCTTTTTGGAGGAAGCGGTGGATTTTGGTTTTGCGTTTTGATTTCCGAATTTCGCCGAGCCACTAGCAGGAAGCATTTCACATAACATAGAACCCACGACGACCACCATTACCTACATGAGCATGTGCACGAACTATAGGCCTAGTGTCTTGCTTCGCATCCACTCTTCCCGAAAAAACAAGCAGAAAAGAGAATGCCTCGACTGGCCAGCACCAACACGTCATGCACATGGGTAGTTGTCGAAATTATGGTCCCCTTTAGGGTACCCTAAATAATAGGTGCCGTATGATAATATCGACCCAGAAAGGGACCATAATTTTGACAACCACCTACATGGTAAACTGGTCGTTGCCGACTCTGCCGACTTGCACCTTTCATTTGAGGCGGTTTCAGGTGCATTTGGGTTTTGACGTTCGTTTGGTTTGGAACCCCAATAGGTTGCTAACGCTTGCTAGTTGAAAATATTCACGAAATCTAACACCTCCTGGCCATGCGCCAGGCGCAGTCGGGTCTGAGCCAGCGGATGAACTCCGCCAATGAGTGTTGCTGGGTCCAAGAAGATACCAGGGAGTGAGCCCAAAACCCCCTTAACATCAGATGATGCATATCTTTATATAAATATGTGTATGTGTGTATATATATATATATTATATATATATATTATATATATATATATATTTATTTATTTATTTATGTTTATCAATACCATACCACTTAGTAAATACAAAACCTGCCAAAACTTACGTTTTGTAAAATACAAACTGTATAAAAGGGTTTATCATACGAATTTACCAAAAAAAAGGTAGGGTAGTTAAGTACAGATTTAGACAGACAGACCGATAGATAGATAAAAGATAGATCCGTAGATTTCCAGTTGCGAGCCAGTGCAGCCCCAATGCCAATGCTGGTAAAATTCCGAGAAGACCTCTGCGGAAGGCATTTGGATTGATTGTATCATTGGAGGAGAAGAGAATGGAATGGATCGACAGATACATGGAGGGGCGGATGCAGAGATGGGATGATGCATATGTACATATATATTTATATATATATACATATATACATATATATATATATATATACATGCATTGACATACGTGCCTGCGTACATATACCCGTTTACCTACCTACCCACCCGCCCGTCCACCCACCACCTCGAACCAAGACCTGCAACAGTATGTTACATGATGTAGCCCAAGGCTTGTCCGACATCCAGGGTCTCGTCGCCGAGGCGAAGCGGATCCTTGCCGATGCCGCCAGCGACTAGACCTGGACCTGCAGTCTTCTACAGGAGAAAATTCTTAACAATAGCGAACGAAAGCGAACGTCAGGTGCTTCGGATTCAGACTGCTGCTCTACCGCAGGGTTTACGGTTCAAGAATTCTGAATCTCAGGGTTCTCCAGTTGAATTCCTTCCTCTTGAGCAGGCTTTTGGTAAGGATCCGATGTTCCGAGAATCGCAACGGAATCACCTGCGGCTTACGCACAGAAGAGAGCTTGCGAGATTTTCTCCACTTCTAGGCTTTTCGCCAAGGCAACTCGGGGTTTCGTGACCTGGCCGTCCTGGACCGGCTGCGGCAGAGCGTCGGGCGCGGATCAGGAACTTCGGAGGCTCTTCGTAGAAAACGCTGGCAGCAGTTGACTGAGGTCAGTCTAAGGTGCCTTCTTTGCATGCACTGTACATAGGGACATGTTGTGAATTCCTTCAGGCATGAAACTTGCCCTTGTGATGTGTGCTGCCCTCTAAGTTGTGTACATTGATGGTGCGGCAGGTCAGCACCATCGACGGCCACGAGGTCATTGAGGCTCAAGACATCATGGACTCTTGAATCCAAAATGCCTCGCTACTGCAAGTGGGCATCAGTAGTCTTCCCGTCGGTCATACCTGATCCAGTGCAAGATGTACTTCCTTTACTTATTATTACAGCAACTCAAAGCAGTTTCTTGCTCGTGCAGTGGCTCCTGAACAACCCACTCTTGCGAGAGTGAGAGTCGAAACCCCTAAACCCCGAAACTCTAAACCCCTAAACTCCCCTAAACCCCTACACCCTAGACCCCAAACCCTCGTAGCCAGCCCTCCACGAGCCCAAACGCTTCGACGCGCAGACGTTTCACAGGCCTGGGTTCCTCTGCCGACGAGCTCCCGAGCCACCTGCGCGCAGCCGAGATGCAAGCAGCGGAAAAACACAAAAGCAGCTTAGGGTGTAGGGTCTGAAAAGGGACAACAAACAGCAAGGCCAGGTTTACTGTAGGGCTCAGGGTCTAAAAAGGGACAGCAAGCAGCAAGACCAGCAACAAGAGCGGGAAAAGCAGCAGACATTGCACGTGAAAGGCATAGACAAGTAAACATCCGCTAGCCTTTATTGCTATTGTAAGTAAGGCCTCCTTTTAAATTAGCAGCAAGACCAGTAGCAGGATATCATGCTTAACATTAGTTTCTGATTTTCTGTGTTCCTTCCTAGTCAGTACTTGTCCGCTGCAGCTAGTCTGAAAGCACCGTTCGGCGGCCAGTACAGTACAGGCTCTGCGATCGCATCCGACACGCCATGATTTGAATGCTAGGCCCTCCGCTGCAGCGCATGGTCAGCCCGTAAAGTTTAAGCAGGGGATCTGCCTATGGCCAGCACCGCAGTAGATATGCCCACACGTACAGGTTCACGCATGTACACAGATACACACGGACGCACATGCACGAGGACATCCGTCCATCCATTCGTCCATCCATCCGTGCATGTATCTTTCCCTACACATGTTTGTTTGTGCCCATGCATGCGGTGCATGAACCTTTTAGACGAACATCCCAGGTTGTGCACCACATTGCGCCTTAGCGGCTACCCCTGGCCCAGCGTTTTGGAGACGGCCGTGGAGTGGGTGCGACACCACCAGGCACTCCATCGAGGGAGTTTGCAGTCATTCCGGCGAGTTCTGCCACGTTTGTAGATATGGGTGGTTGTCAAAATTAAGGTCCCTGTTTGGGTCCTTATTATAATACGGCACCTATTATTTAGGGTACCCCAAAAGGGACCATAATTTTGAAAACTACCCATATCCTCTGGAAGATTCTCGAAGGTGCATCAAGCATTGCTGCACTCTCATCTCATTTCGTCGGGGGCTGGTCGTTAACTGAAGGCCGCCAGGTCTCCAACCTTGCCCGTCATTGTGTCATGTTCTCAGAGATGCGTCCACCCCCCAAAGCCCGACGCTCCTGCCCGAGGCATTGGGGTTTGACCCAATCCTGATCTTCATGGATGAGCCGGATCCTTCTAAAACGAGCTCTTTGGCATCTGCGCTGGTAGAGAGTCTCAGCTGCTCAGCCAGGTGTGCTGGAAGTCCCGATGGGAAGAGGGCCCCGCATTGCACTCCAGTACGTGACCGTTGAACACCGAAAGTCTTTGTCGTTGCTCACGCTCTAACTACTTTACTGAATTCTATCTACTCTGTTCGAGTACGAGCCACGAAAAAGATGCCACACTCGAAAGCTTCAAACATTCACAGCGCTCAACACTCGAGCGAAACCCCCAGCTAATTACCGCAAACCCAAATTGGAGGTTCCCAAAGTTTGGGGTACCTTATTTTGGGGTCCTTATAATAGGGATCCTACTATTTAGGGTACTAGATTAGGATCCCCTAGTTTCGGAAACCCTCAAATGAATCCGCAAGCTGCCATGCACGAGCCCTAAACCCTAAACCCTATAAACTCTAAACCCTAAACCCTGAATCCTAAACCCTAATCCCTAAACCCTAAACCTGGTCGACCTCGCAAGCTTCCAGGAGCGGTCTCTCTGCGCACCTTGTGGCCGAGGCGACCGGGTAAATTCTTATTTTTTGGGGGGTTTTAGGGTTTAGGGTAC